CTGTGGGAATGAACATGAACCTGGCCCCTGCCTTCTGGAGGAACTTGAACCTATAGGAGGAAAGGTAAGGCGTATACTAGATCCGTCAACAGGAATTGCTCCAGATGAGAGCTCTGGTGTTGTGCCTCAGAACCACCAGGGAAGGCTCTGTGGGAGAAGCCACATTTGTGCCGGCCTTCATGCCATTTTCCTTCCTTATAGCTCCATTTCGCTTTCAAAATGGAAAAGGCTTTACTTTTTTTTTAATGATTATAAAATAATATACATATGAGTTTCCTAGTGCTACCATGATGAAGTACAGCAAACTAGAGGGCTTAAAACAACAAAAATTTATTCTCTCACAGTTTTGAAAACTAGAAGTCTGAAATATAGTGGTGACAGGGCCATGTTGCCCTGAGACCTGTAGAGGAGAATCCTTCTTTACCTGTTCCTAGTTTCTGGTAGTGGATGTCAATCCTTGGTTGCACTTTAATCTCTTCCTCCCGCATCACCTTCTCTTCTTAACAGGATACCAGCCATACTGGCTTAAGGGCCCACCCTGCTTGAGCAGGAACCCATTTTAACTGAACTAGTTAATTACATTTGCAAAGACTTTATTTGCATATAAGGTCAGCATCTGAGATACTGGGGGTTAGTACTTCCATATATCTTTTTGAAGGACACAATTCAATCCGGAAGAATATGTTCATTATAAAAAATTCAGATGGTAATAGCAGAAAAGCAGAAAGAAGTATGTAAAAATCATCTGCAGTGTTACTGCTCAGAGACAACCACTGTTACTATCCCTCCATTTTTCTTTACATATACACAAGGTACCACGATTACATTATACATAACAATTTTGTGACTTGCTTTTCCTCAAATTATATCTTGGACATCTCCCAAGTCAATAAAATAGATATCACATATGTAATTGGCACAAAATAATTTATTCTAACCAAGCCTCTACTGTAGTTGAAGATACTAGTAAACTGTTCATTTTCCAGCTTTGTAAAAGACATAAAAATCCTCACACTTTTATGTACTTATAGTTTTTATTTAATTCTTTTTGTTTTTTCTATCATTATTTTTTCATCTCATTTTTCCCACCTGCCAAAAGAAAAAAGCATCTTGAATTTCTTGCTCCTGAACAGAAATTATTTCTTAAAAATATATATACATTGGTCTCTTTCACCCACAAGTCCCAGAAAGTTATTAGGCTATTTATTTGTCAGTGTTTCAGAGTTGGCACAAGTCCCGACCTATCCTTTGGACAGAACACCCTACAAGGCAACCTCCAGAGCAAGAGAAAACCCTGTGACCTAGGAGACTAGTATACCTAAAATTGTCCAGTCAGATGATCAAGTTTCTCCTGTGGATGCTTTCTACTTTTTGTTTCATTTGCATATTATAAAGCACATCAAAATATTGTTTGGTTTCCCCAACCAATGAGCCAGAGTAAGAAATATTTTTGAGCTTAGTCCATTGTCTTTTGAGCCTAGACCTGGCCTTCTTAAATTTTAGTGTACAAATTACCTGGCAGTCATAAAAATGCAGATTCTGGTTCAGTAGGCCTGGGGTGGAGCCTGAGTTACTTCTTTTCTAACTACGGGTCATGCACCACATATTGACATTTTGTTCAATGATGAACCATTTGTACGACGGTGGTCCCATAAGATTATAATGGAGTTGAAAAACTCCTATTGCCTGGAGATGTTGTAGCCATTGTTACATTGCCAGAGTGTAATGCATTACTCACGTATTTGTGATGGTCCTTCAGGAGGTATTTCAGAAGACATTGTTAATTAGAGGAGATGACAGCTCCATGTGTTACTGCCCCCGAAGGCCTTCCAGTGGGACAAGATGTGGAGGTAGAAGACAGTGATATTGATGATATTGACCCTGTGCAGGCCTAGGCTAATGTGTATGTTTTTGGGTTAGTTTTTAGCAAAAATGTTTAAGAAGTAAAAAAACAATAAATAATTTTAAAAATAGGAAAAGCCTATAGAATAAGGATACAAAGAAAGAAAATATTTTTGTATACCTATACAATATGTTTCTGTTTTAAGCTAAGTGTTATTACAAAGGGTCAAAAATTTTAAAAAATTAAAAAGTTTATAAAGTAAAAAAGTTACAATAAGCCAAAGTTAATTTATTATTGAAGAAAGAAATTTGTTTTAGAAATTTAGTGTAGCCTAAGTGTGCAGTAGTGAGTAATGTCCTAGCCCTTCACATTCACTCACCACTCAGTCACTGACTCACCCAGAGCAGCTTCCATTCCTACAAGCACAATTCATGGTAAGTGCTTTATACAGGTTTACCCTTTTTTTTCAAATCTTTTATACTGTATTTTTACTGTACATTTTCTATGTTTAGATACACAAATGCTTACCATTATGTTACAACTGCCTACAGTATTCAGTACAGCAACATGCTGTAGAGGTTTGTAGCCTAGGAGCAATGGCTATCCCACATTGCCTAGGTGTGTAGTAGGCTATACCCTCAACGTTTGTGTAAGTATATTCTATGATGCTTGCACCACAACAAAATCACCTACCGATGCATTTCTCAGAAATCCCCATCATTAAGAGACACGTGACTGTAGTTTCCAGGTGATGTCAATGCTGCTTATCCATATACCATATTTTAATAGCAAGGCTATAGTTTAGAGCACTGTTTAGGGAAAACCTTTGAGCCCGAATCTTAAGTTGGGTTGCCTGAAAAACAGATACTGAGATGGAGATATACCTGCAGGAAGCTTGCTGGGGAGAGCTCTTGGAACAACACAAGGAGTGAAAGAAATAGGACTGGGCAGACTGTCATAGAGTTGCCACATAGGCCTCAGCTGATCCTACGGGCAGTGCTGGACCCAGGAAGACCTTCATTTGTATCCAGTTCAGATAACGGGGCCAGGCCTGTGTACCCCTATGTTAACTAGTCATGGAATACACACTGCCCAGCAGAAGGCGTCAGCTGGGGTGAGGCAGCTCCTTTCCACAGCACAGTTCTCAGAGGGGGCTTGGCCATCAGTAGCCACACCATTGGAGGGGGACCTCAGAGAAGCACCACAGTGTCCACTACTCTGGTGATAGCCCCAGTGACCTCAGGAGATCACTATATTATTTTCTATCTTAGTCAAGTCCAAATTTAGGACAGAATATGATAGACATTTCCCCAAACATTTCTGTTTCATTAATAAATGGAGCCATATGTCTGTGGACTGTGCCAGACCCCGGAGGTGGTGATTCCAGAAACAATCATTTTGGCTTTACTGAGAAAAGCTCTGAACTTAATTTGAAAGCTGCACAAATTATTTTATCTCAAGCAGGGATGCTGGAAAAAGGTTCTGGGAGGTGCTTTGGCAGATACTTTATTGATTGATTTCACAGAAGGGAGAGCTAGGTAAGATAATATCTAAGGAAAATGATGTGTGCCACCTTCTGGCACTAACTAAAAGCAAAGCCTAATAACTAAAGATGAGTTCCCTTTTCCTATTCAAGGGACTCAATGAGTGTTTTAGTAGTAGTGGTTTGCTACTTTTAGAAGTAGGTGTGGGAGTTCATGAAGTGAGTTAAAATAAAAATGTCTAGGGCTGGATAGCCGTGTATGGAAAAAGATAAAATTGGATCCATTCTTTACTTTCTACACTGGATAAATTCCAAATGAATCAGAGATCTAATATAAAAAATGAAAACATAGCAGTACTAGAAAAAACTAGTACCAGAATTCACATGAGTGAATTCCTTTACAATTTAGGAATGGGGAAAACATTCCTGCCCATGATTAGAATCCGGAAGCATTAAGAGAAGAGATCAATTAACTATGATTCAAACAAACAAAAAAGGAAAGCAAAAAATAAAAAAAAAAATGTGCAACTTATATCACAATGGGCTAGTATATAAAAAGTTCCTTAAATTTTTGTAAAAGGCCATCCTGATAGAAAGTAAGTAATATTTAAGGACTTAACTCCAAAAGGAGCAAAATGATTCTAAGAAAACATTCCCTACTTAAATTCATTCATTGGGCAAATATTCCTTTAGCCCCTGGCGCTATTAGGCAATGAGCATACAACAGTATACAAGGCAGATAAAGTTCTGTCGCTGCTCTAAGCAAGTTTACTTGGGGGGAGGTGAAGTGGGGTGGTGGTATATATATACTATATTGTCTGTACTTAAATTGAGCCCAAGTCTCCAGCCCTAAAAGAAATACATCCCAACAAACAGAGACCAACTTGATGGGATTGTTGATGTTTCAGAATGGAAAAGCAGCACAGAGCTGGGAGTGTGCAGCCTTAAAGGTCAACAAGATAACCTAGGTTTCAGCAATGTCTGGGCGGGCAGCCATACTCCCTCCGGGTCTCCTAACGCCAAATCCCACTAATTGAAGCTCGTGCAAGCTGCCACCTCCCCCAGACTTCGCATTTCTTCCGTACTCTACTCCCTCGTGACGGGTCTTCTTTGTCGTACTTAACTTCCTATGCAATAAGATTTGTGTATCACTATCAGTCTCCCAAACTTGAACAAATTCCCATAGTCGTAGTTCCCACCAAGGGCAGTGGGTTAGGGTTACCAAAGTCGGCGTTTGTCAATCCTGACTTAAATTGTCTCATCTCGGGTTCCGTAGAACGGTTTCTCCGTAAGAGGGCCTTCAGCCTCAGCTGAGTTCGGGAGAAATGAGAACAAGGTGTCTATTCCATTTCCCCAAATACTGCATAGTGTCTGAGGCGCAGGTCAAGATATTCAAGCATACATTGAACAGCATTTTCCTTCAAAAAATATGGATATGAAGGAGCAAGTGAAGCTCATCTTTCTTTTCACGTTTATTAGGTTTAGCTGCAACACCCTTCGTGGTCTCCGCTCCGCCCGCACCTCCCTAGTCAGGCAGCTCCTGGCCACCCTCCGAGGTCCTGATTTTGAAAAGAGAAGCGGACCAATCAGACGCGGAGCGCTGTTTGGCGCTGCCATTTGAGCCTGGGCTAGAACTGCGGGTCCGACGGCTGCGGTGGCTTCAGGTGTCTGCAGAGGCGGTGGGACGGAGGCATGAGGCGAGCTGCTTGGCTCCAGTGAGCGCCCCAGGATGTGCAGGCCAGGAGCCGCGGACAGGCTGACGGAGGAGGGAACGAGCCGCCTGTGAAACGGGGTGACGGCGGCGACCAGCCCGGGCGGGGACCGGGACTGGAAGAGGCGCCTGAGCAGCCGGCTGGTCCGGCGGCTAGGCTAGGGTGGGGGACGCGGGGACCGAGAAACGAACGCCCAGCTGAGCCTGCTGGGGTTGGAGGGACGAGGAAGCCAGAGAGGGCAAAGGGAGGTTTGTAGGAAAGGGGATCATTGGAAGTGGCCGGAAGTGGTGAGAAGCTGGCAACAGGCGTTGGTGTAAGGAACCGAAAGAATCAGAGAGAAAGAAGTGAAGTCTGTGTAAGTAGCTGAAAGGATTGGGTAACCAGAAAGAAGGTCAGTGTAAGTGAAGGAAGAGTAAGGTGTGGCTGGATCAGAGGGCCAAGGGAAGAGGGTCTGTGTAAGTGTAAGAGGATTAAGGAAAAGCCGTGGAAGTGGCAGGGGCTGTGGGCCAGAGGAGTGCCAGACGTAGCCGGAAGGCAGCGGAGCGGAGCTCAAACCTGAGAGTGTTTGGAAATTGCAAGACTTGGTGGCGAAAGAGGGTCAGGACACAGATCCTGCCTCAGCGAATGAGCGACGAGTACGGGATGTGGGATCAGAGGCTGGTGAGATTGGCCTTGTTGCAGCAGCTTCGGGCCGACTATGGCATTAAGGTCAAGCATAGCCGTGGGCAGTGCGATTGCAGGAGACATGAAACAGCAGCCACGGAAATAGGGGTAAGTTCTGGGAAAGGGAATTCGGGTTGAACAAGGCACACCCTGTATCATCACTTTTTACCAGGTCGTGCTAAAATGTTCACTCTTTGTATCAAAAACAATGTGATTAGATGTGTCTAATTCAATCCAGATGGTCACTTGCTGTTATTTTATTTTATTTTTGAGACAGAGTCTCACTCTGTTGCCCTGGCTAGAGTGAGTGCCGTGAAGTCAGCCTAGCTCACAGCAACCTCACACTCCTGGGCTCAAGCAATCCTTCTGCCTCAGCCTCCCGAGTAGCTGGGGACTACAGGCATGCGCCACCAAGCCCGGCAAATTTTTTCTATATATTTTTAGTTGTCCAGATAATTTCTTTCTTTTTTTTAGTAGAGACAGGGTCTCGCTCTTGCTCATGCTGGTCTCGAACTCCTGAGCTCAAACAATCCGCCCACCTCGGCCTCCCAGAGTGCTAGGATTACAGGCGTGAGCCACCGCGCCCGGCCACTTGCTGTTATTTTAAAAATGACATTCTTGATTCTTTTCAGGGATTTTTGATCATTGAGAGGAAGTTGCAGGATTTACCAACCTCAGCGCTACTGATATTTTGGAGTAGATAATTCTTTGTTAGGGAGAAGAGGCGATGATGTCCTGTGAATTGTAGGATGTTTAACAGCATCTCTGGGTTCTACCCACTAGATGCCAGTAGCATCTCTCAGTTGTGACAATTAAAAATGTTTCCAGATATTGCCAATTTATTGTATTTTGAACAAGTATCACTGGGGAGGAAGACAAACTCTAGCCCTCCATCACGGTTTTAGAGTAAGGTTTGTAGAGGGACAAGGGGACCAGTGCATTTTCTAAATGGATCGGTAGATGAGGTGTGACAGAGCGTTAGAAGTAGGTTTCATACGATACCTCCATATTCACCAATTTGAGAAAACAGGCTTGCTGCTTGGCCTATTACACTTTTGAGACATAGCGCTATTTTTTAAAACGAATAAATTGAGAAGCCAGAACGAAATTATTGAAAAGCTGTTGATGTTTCAGTGGTCGAAGTTAAGGAATTTTTAATGAGATTTTAATGGCTTTACCACATAATCAACTTAATTGCGAAAAATAAATTGAATATAAAGCATTTTATTTTAAATGTAAGTACTTGGAGAAGAAAACTAACAAAAATATAATAATATGTATACCTCTTAATAGCTTATACATTTTGGAGAAATTGTTTTTGTTGTTTGCAAATTAATGTCAACATGTGTATTCATGTTTTAGAACCATAGAGATTTCTTCTGATTGTAAAACTGGCTTTCCAAGATCTCAAAGATAGCTGGTTTTGTAACTATATGGGAGAATTTGCACATGGATTTTTTTTCACTCCTTAACAAGAAAACCCATATCTGCCTTTAGCATCAGATAGACCTGAGTTTGAGTCCTGCCCCACCCCTGCTAGGTCCATGAACTTGGGTTGCTTGTTTGATTTCCCTAAGTTTCAATTTCCTAATCTATAAAGTGGGAATAATGGTATCTCCTTGGATTGTTAAGGGGATTTAAAAAAAAAGTTAAGGCCTGTAGATAGGCCTAGCACAGTGCCTGTCACATATCACTTATTCAACTAATGATAGTTGTTATGATAATCCATAGTTTACCTCTTAATTAATAGTCATGTTATGTAAATTCAGCTAGAAACACTAATAATATTCTAATAAATATTACAGATTGTTGTGTTATAAGAATGAGATCTAACAGGATAGGTAATTTGAAAAAATCATTTCTTTTTCTCTTTGGTGTTTATTAACTAATAGTTTCTGAGCTTTTTAAGAAAAGCACTGTAAATCTTTTAAAAAATTATATTGTAAGTGATATTCTAATATGTAAAGTTTAAAAAGCATGTCATGAGAAACGTAGTGGTTATTTGTGAAGCCTATTAAAAATAATGAGATGTAAGAAAAAATACAACAATGAATTCTAGTTATGTGTGACAGTTGTAGACTTTTTATCAGCTTTAGCATCTGATTTATTTTTGCATTTTGTTTGGTTGCACACTATCAAGAACATTCTAATTTACCTAAATAAAGGGGTTGTCCATACTAATACTTTTTAAAAATAATTCACCTTGAAATGATAATCATAACAGCAATAAATATTCTTTGAATGCTTACTCTTTGTCAAACACTGATATAAGGGTTTTACATGTTCTAATTCATTTCATTCTTCCTATAACTCTATGACTTAACATCTGTGTGAAGACATGAGGGACAAAATATTAATTTGATCAAGGTAGAAGAGCCAAGATTTAAAATCTAGCAGTCTTGTCTCTAGGAGCCTACTCTCTTTAGCTCTATACTGTTCTGTCTTTTCAGCTTGGAATATGCATAAATTAAATGGAGCCAGGTGCTTGGAAGAGTACTAGTAAAATTTTATTACTGTGTCGAATCATTAACAATACCAAGTGCTTTCTTAATGTAGATAGAAAGTTGAATAAAATGCTCTTGAAACATAAGTGTTCACAGCAGATGCACCTAAACTAAATTAACATATGTGAGATTAGGTTGTGCCCACTTAATTTTGTATGAACAGACAGATACAGGCTTAAATTTACTTTTCAGTCCAGTACAAAGCCATAACCTTGTTAATCAGTAACACATTTTTAAGTTCAAATGCATGCACAAAGATAGTGGCAGATTCTTTACACTTCAGTGTGCAAAAACACTGAAGTTAGCCAACATACATGCTTACTCTTGGATTCCTCAATGTATTAAAATTTGAATGTGAGATTTTAAAAATGGATTTCCAAGTAGTTAGATAAAATTTGACTTAAATATTTGCGGAACCCCTACCTTGTGTACCTCAGGGCATAGTTCGAAAGCAATCTTCTATAGGGTATGGAAAAGATATCAGGTCTAAAAATACCCTGGTGTAATTTTAGGATGTACTCAATGAGTGCCTGGAATTATTGTTCTGCTTATCAATTGACTTAGCCCTTTGTGTAAGTTAGTATTTATAACGTGACCAAAGGAAAGTATATGTTCAGTATTTATAAGATCACCGAAAGAACCTGTACTATTTTTTGGAGAATGTTTGTGTTTTGAGCCAAATTCTGTTGGAGAATTTTCTAAGTTCTAACTGGATTGATTTTCCATGATCAGACTGGAGACTGACTGAATTTACTAGATTGTTTGAGGGCAATGACTTTATCTCAGCCATCTTTGTACTCTCAGCACCTAGCATAGTATCTAATATAGTAGTTACTTGTTACCAAATGCACTTGAAATAATTTTCTCTTGGCCGGGCGCGGTGGCTCATGCCTGTAATCGTAGCACTCTGGGAGGCCGAGGCGGGTGGATCGCTCTAGGTCAGGAGTTTGAGACCAGCCTGAGCAAGAGCAAGACCCCATCTCTACTAAAAAAAATAAAAATAAAAAAAGAAATTATCTGGACAACTAAAAATATATATAAAAAAATTAGCCGGGCATGGTGGCGCATGCCTGTAGTCCCAGCTACTGGGGAGGCTGAGGCAGAAGGATCGCTTGAGCCCAGGAGTTTGAGGTTGCTGTGAGCTAGGCTGATGCCACGGCACTCTAGCCCGGGCAACAGAGCAAGACTCTGTCTCAAAAAAAAAAAAAAAGAAATAATTTTGTCTTGTTTGATAGCTTATAGTTTATTTCTGCTATTTTTTTTATTTCCTGAAGGTTTTAATTTGCCTAATGTTTAAGAAAATTTATATTATACCTAATATTTGCGTTAGAGTAACTGAATTTGTCATTTTAGGGTAAAATATTTGGAGTGCCTTTTAATGCATTACCCCATTCTGTTGTACCAGAATATGGACACATTCCAAGGTAAGCAGAGTTTGTAATGAAGAACGGAGTAAATATTTCAAACTGGTTTCAGTGGGTTTAAAAAGAAATAGTTGATTGACACATATTTGTTTCAAACCAGCAAAGGATTTCACCTCTAAACATTAGGTAATGTAAAATAAAACTTTTTCTAATTTTTACATATTTTTAATTTGTAATTCATACTTATTCCCAGGATTGACATTTAAGGTCCAGTTATGAATAAATGTTAGAAATCAATTTTTTTTCCATTAAGTCAGTTTTCAGTTCAATACCAATTATTTTGCCATAATTCTGATTAAGTAATATGCTGAATTACAAATTCAGTAATAGTTTTGATATTTTTTGTTTGTTTAATAAGTGTTGGATAAAAGTATTTAAACTAGGATATTGGAGTATTTGCGAATAAATATTATGTAACACTTCTCTTTTCTATGACACTTATTTATAAATAACCTTTTGAACTAACTGCATCAGAAATTACTAGGGATGTTTATGTTTTAAGAACATAGTTTAAAAAAAATTTTTTAATTATTATGGGTACATCATAGTTGTGTATAAGAGCATAGTTTTAAAATTCATATAATTCATTTCGACTTTATCCAAAGTAGGGTTCATTATTCCTTTTTCTTTTTTTTTTTTTTTTGGCCACCTAACATGAACTTTGGCTAAGGATTCATTATTCTAGTTGAATAATCTAGGTTTTAAGTGGTACATCATCCAAAAGTATTTATTGAATACCTTGTTGCCTCACTGTTTTGCTTTTTAAATGATGTATGAAAGAAGAATTTTAAGATGTATTTTCCTATAATGAAAACCTATAATGATTTTCAACACTTGGAATTGCAAAGTCATATCCCCAGGAATAACAACTAAATCTTTGTTTTAATTTCTTGACCTACTTTTTTTTTTTTTTTTTTAACTATCCTGTCAGTAACCCTCTGTAAGCAGGGCTGACATTTAGCCACTGTGCACCAATACAACTGTATCAGTTATTTGTAGCTTGTATCCATCCTAATTTATGGGTTCCAGCTGTTGAATATGTAAGTATCTAAAGCCAACATTGATTAAGATTTTTTTGTTTTTTTTTTTGTTTTTTTTTTTTGAGACAGAGTCTCGCTCTGTTGCCCTGGCTAGAGTGAGTGCCGTGGCATCAGCCTAGCTCACAGCAACCTCAAACTCCTGAGCTCAAGCAATCCTTCCGCCTCAGCCTCCCAAGTAGCTGGGACTACAGGCATGTGCCACCATGCCCGGCTAATTTTTTTCTATATATATATTTTTAGTTGTCCGGATCATTTCTTTCTATTTTTTGGTAAAGACGGGGTCTCGCTGTTGCTCAGGCTGGTCTCGAACTCCTGAGCTTGAGCGATCCACCCGCCTCGGCCTCCCAGAGTGCTAGGATTACAGGCTTGAGCCACCGCGCCCGGCCAAGATTATTTTTTAAAATAAAGAAATTGAACACATATCTCTTAATATGAAAAGAATTGTAAGGACTGGGGTATACCGTACTTTTCTGAGAGGTCATGTTGGGTTGACAAAAAAACCTTGCCCTATTTTTGGCAAATGTAGTAGATGATAGATATGTAAAACTATGTATGCTGTGCAAGATCACCCATGGAGAGAAAGAAGATAAAAGAAGGCAGCCTTGGACAGAACCCTGGGTTGTTCTACAGTGTAAGGATCTGGCAGAAGAAGAGGAGCCAGAAAAGGAGTTTGAGAAGGAACAGTAGAGGAAATAGCAGGAAAACCAGAAGGGTAGGGGAAAAGAGCATTTTTGAGATGAATAAGGGGTGATCAGGTGTGTCAGATGCTGATGAGTCAAGCAAGATGAGGACAACGAATGGACCATGGATTTGACAAGGCAGAGGCCACGGGTGACCTTGTGAGCTGTTTCACTGGGTTAATGGGGAATGAGATTCTGACTGGAGAGGGTGGAGTAGAAGCTGGAATATGAAGAAGTAGAGGCAGTAAAAAAGACAAGTCTTGTGCTCTGAAGGGAAGCAGAGAAGTGGAGTAGGATTGAGAAAGAAGGATATAAAGTTGAGTGGGCACACTGGATTTGGCATGAGTAAAAAGAGGGGCCTTAGAAGAATTTAGGAAGCGAGACAGAAAACTAAAAGTAACTTTGTCACAAAGACTAAAGGGATTTGTGGCATCAGAACTTCTGAAAGGGGCATAGTGCTTGCCTGCTCATATACTTTAGAAGGAAAATAGGATTTGATAAGATGTGTATCTGGCCACCTGAAAAATAGTCTCTCTTTCAGCTTTCTTGTTGATGCTTGCACGTCTTTACAAGAGCATATTCACACAGAAGGGCTTTTTCGGAAATCAGGATCTGTTATTCGTCTAAAAGCACTAAAGGTAAGCATGTTCTTGAACTATAATTTTTCGTATGTACCACTTTCCAATTTTGTTTCTGTGGTTGAAATATTTAGAACTATTACATGAATAATTGACAGAAATTGAATTTACAAATAGCTTTTTTTCATGGCAAAAGAATCTTTTTTCAAAAGACATTATATATCATTTATATTGTGCTTTAAAAGTTCACAGAGTACTTTTAAATTCATAGTATGTTAGATTATACTATTCCTATATTCTATATGAAATAAAAAAATTGTTAAATTTTGTTTTTTGGCCTTCTGGAAAAAAGAGAGATATATATTAAAATAAGAGTTAAGAGACATTATTTTTAAAAGAGAGCTCTTTAGAGTATAGTAAAATATACTTTATAGCATTAAACTCTTAAGTTCCCTAAAATACTCAAGATTATTATATTTATTTCAGAATAAACTGGATCATGGTGAAGGTTGCCTATCTTCTGCACCACCTTGTGATATTGCAGGACTTCTTAAGCAGTTTTTTAGGGAATCACCAAAGCCCATTCTTCCAGCTGATTTGCATGAAGCACTTTTTAAAGCTCAACAGTTAGCAACAGAGGAGAAGACTAAAGCTACATTGTTGCTCTCCTGTCTTATGAGTGACCACACAGTTAATATATTAAGATACTTCTTTAACTTTCTCAGGAATGTTTCTCTAAGGTAAGTGGTAATTAAAACTCTTAGGAAATAATAGTTTAATTTCTCACCAAGTTAAAGATTTACACTTGTAGATAAATTTCATTTAGAAGGGAAATTTTTCTTAAAAAATATTACATTATTTCTTTACTATGAGAATTACATCTTGTGTAATTTCTGAAACAGTACATCAAATGATTTAATATTTCCTTGCTGTCTTAAAGTCATCATGATGAATGCCTTAACAGCTAATTGGTATTGATAGGATTCATTGTCCACTGAATGGCTTCTGATTATTGCGTTTTTAAAATGTTTGTGTTTTACTTTTTGAATTTTTCTCCTCTCCCTACTCTCAGTGAATCTGCTTATTCTAGACATACAGGCCACCTTCTAACACTTCCAGTTTTTTATGTGTGGGTTTGAAAATCAGGTAAACATGTTCAACTTGTGTGGAAAAACAAAGTGTGAACTCTAGGGTTAGCATGATTTTTATGATATATATTTAAATATATAGTGACTATATATTAATATTTCTGGTTCTTTTATATATTCAAGTCAGTCGTGTAGATGGGTAGATAAAGGGTAACTCTTTTGACTTGGATGTTACTGATAAGTAAGAGGTCTTCAAAATATTCTAAGTATGTTATTTTAACTCTTTTTATCTTTGGCTGCATCTAATAAAAACTTTTTTCACTTAAGGTCTAGTGAGAATAAGATGGATAGCTGCAATCTTGCGGTAATATTTGCACCAAATCTTCTTCAGACAAATGAAGGACATGAAAAGATGTCTGCTAACACAGAAAAAAAGTTACGATTACAGGCTGCAGTAGTACAGACTTTCATTGATTATGCATCAGATATTGGTAAGATGTAGTTGCATTATTAAGGAATAGAATTTGTTTAAATGAGGGAGATCCCAGTTTCTTCCAAGTGAACTATGAAGACAAATTTTGGAAAGTTTGTATATTACTATCTAAACATTTTTGAGGAGTGGATGAAGGATAATAATTGTCTTACTCATGAACATTTTCATTTAGGACGTGTACCAGATTTTATCCTGGAAAAGATACCTGCTATGTTGGGTATTGATGGCCTCTGTGCTACTCCATCACTGGAAGGCTTTGAAGAAGGTGAATGTGAAACTCCTGGTGAACATAAGAGAAAACGAAGACAAAGTGTAGGAGGTAAATGGCAGTCCCATTTTATGGGAGTACAGCAATTTGTTTTTATCTCAAATGCATTTGAACATAAAGAAGCATAAACTGTGCTATATGCCTTTTTACTGCTTACAGCATAGTTGGAAAGATAGGACATATGCATATGAAAAAAGGACAATATAGTCTAATATTAAGTGCTGAATCTTTAGCACAAATATAAAAATGTATTAAAGGAGAAAAATTCCCTTGGTTGTAATGATCAGGGACTCGTCAAAGAGGAGGACAAACTGAGCCTTCTTGAAGAAAAAGTAGAATCTAGGAGAATTGGGTGGAAAGTCAGAATACCTATATCCTATTCTAGATGAGAAGGATTCTATGAAGAAAGATCTGTGTTGGGAAGAAGTAATCTATGTCTGTGTCTGTAAGTAGACCAGCGTGACTTCAGTGAAGTGTTCATTGTAAGGATTGGGGTGGTATGGTGAGCTTGATGCCAGGCTAAAGAATTAGAATATTAACCTAGGTGTTAGTGAACCATGAAAAGTTTATGATTTGAGGCATGACTTGATTAAAATGTTTTAGAAAATTAACTGATTTGAAGAATTGAAACTTGGAAGAAGGAAGATTGGTCAGAAATATGCATCAATAATCCAAGTGTGAGATCATTGTTTGAACTAGTTACTGACATGAATTGCTTAGGAATGCAAACTAAATAATGAAGGAAATATTTCCAAGGAAGAATCAAAAAGACCACAAGTCCTGTCATGGTGGAGTTGGTAATAAAACTTCTTATCTCCTTCTTGGTTGAGAAGACAGAGGGCATTCCTTCTCCAATCGTGTTAGGAAATTTCTCATCTTTCGAGTATCCAAACCAATTGTTATTAACTATCCCATTCCTTTTTTAATCTTTTGGCTTATATGTTAATGCATTGTTGTGTTTCTTCCTTACTTCCACTGTAGAGTCCTTTTATGTCTTATGTATTATTTTCCTAGGGCTACTGTAGCAAAGTACCACAAACTGGGTGGCTTAAAACAACAGAAATTTGTCTTAGTTCTGGAGAATAGAAGTCTGAAAACAAGGTGTCGGCTGGGTGTAGGAGAGAATCCTTTCCTGCATCTTCCTAACTTCTAGTAGTGGCTGTTAGTCCTTGGCATTCCTTGACTTTGCCGCTGCATCACTCCAGTCTCTGCCATTGTCATCCCACGGTGGTGTTCTTCCTGGGTGTTCCTCTGTGTCTACATTTTCCTTTTATAAGGACATACTGGATTAGGGCCCACCCTAGTGGCCTCTTCTTAACTTGACTATATCTGTAAAGACACTAATTCCAAGTATGATCACATTCATAGGTACTGGGTGTTTGGACTTAAACATCTGTTTTTGGAGGACACAATTCAACCCATAAAACTTTCCCAAATGTAGATATTTCTTAAACACAGATCATCTTTATTGCCCTCTTTCCCTTTGTGATCTCATTCACTCCTATAGTTTCAGTTATCACATCTAAATAGGTTAGTACCAGATCTTTATCACCATTATCTCAAAAATGTCAGTTCTACTTTACTAACAACCAGTCATATCTGCTTTTCCTTGGTGATTTAAGCTTAACGTTTTGAAATGACCATTTTCACCCTCTTTAAACTGGTTCTATGTGAATTCCATTTTCTTTTAACAACTCCTCCATTCCCTAGGCACGCAGTCTTTAAACCATGGTCTTTGCCATCTATATTCACACAGTTTTCAGGTTCTATAAGATTCTATCTCTGCGGTGTTTACTGTATCTTTACTGTAAGAATCTCCTTCTTGGTCTTTGTACCTCTTTCTTGAATCCACCCTACTTATTGGTATTAAGGCTGACATTTTTATTGTATCATTCTACTCAAGTATCTCACACACACTTCAGAAACTTTCACTGATAATACTGATTTGTATAGCTTGGTATTAAATGTCTGAAATAAGATTGCTCTAGCATACCTGTGTATCGTTTCCTGTCTTTCATTTAAGCAACCTGTACTTTAGTCAAACTGTGCTATTTATTTATTGTTTTCCAGACACTTTCATTCTTTTGCTTATATTGTTTATTGATATATTTTTACATCTATCTATACTTGCTGTTCAGATTGTATCTAGTTGTCAAAATTTAGGTTAAATGTCTTGTCAAGCAAATTCTTCTCATTTTTTTTTTCTCAATGGGGAAATAATCTCTCTTCTGCTCTGATATTCTATAATATTTTAGGCTTTAAGAGTTGTTATATGCAATACTCTTTGAAGGTAGAAACCGTATTTTATACATCATTATATCAACCCAGTGGTTTTTACTTAATAGGCATAAACTTTTGAATGAGTACGTTACATCGAGTTATTAATATTTGGCTTAAACTCAGAGATACTTTATTTGAATACATTATGAAAGCATTTATCAAGCATCACTAAAATTCATTGATTTCATTAGTAATTTGAAACTGTTCAGGAACTCTAGGTCATCAGTGTTTATATTGTAGCTAGACTTCTTTTTTGCATCTCACTTTGAAATGCAAAAAAAATCCATGCGTTTCATTCAATTGCATTGCTTTGAAGAATCTTGACTTTTTAAAAATTTATGAAATATATATAACATAAAATTTGCCATCTT